TTCAAGATGTGGTTCAGGCTCTGTTCGGGTCATGAACAGCAATCATTTGCAGTTCTCGGGGGGTTTTTTTCCCCATGAACCTCTGCCCGTGTTTCACAGGAAATGAAAATGCAGTCTTTTGCTTTACGTTTGTAAGCAAGGCAGAGTAGCTCCTTCTCTAGACCCTGTCTTGTGGATCTTCACGTGGTCTACCCAACCACTTCTTGAAGAATGCCAGAGCTCTCAGTTTTCAGTGCTTGAATTGTGTCTGCTGGCCTGTAGACCTTAATCTGCTGCCATTTAGCGACCTCAGATGGTTCACACCCACAGAGGATTTCTAAAGCTTCCTGTAGCTCTCTGTGATCTCTGAAAGAAGATCGTATGAGGCTTCCTGCCAATTAGAATAAAGGCATGTAAGGGTGAATAGAGTAATATTTACAAGTTCTATTAAACCTTAAACATGTATCTCTAAATAAAGGATACAGTGGTCCTGGATCAAACGTCTCTTTGTTTCCCTGCTCCTCATCATTGTAGTTTAAATCCTCAATCTGGTGTGAAAATCGGAATGTTGCAGTTGGTATCTTTCATCTTAGGTTCATTTATGTAGATATCCTAAATTATAGTCACTGGTCTTCCCTTCATCCCAGTGCCATTTACGTTGAGTCTGAACTTATTTGAATATTCAGGCTAAGTTGGATATGAAAAGTTCTAATAAGTGATTAAGGGCGTCTGCGATCGAAGAATATCTGTTCTATTGTAATAGTAGCCGTTGGTTGCCTTTGCTGTCAGTTCTGGGAAATAAAATCAGGTTTGCTTGCAAAAAAGCCTGCAAATTGGGTCAAGTCTTAGCTTTAGACACTGCTGTTGTACCTTGAGTGAGGTACTATACTCCAGTTTTTCCATTCCACCCAGCTGTATAAATGGGGGGCCTGCAGATTTGGAGGAGTCATCTTTGCCATGGACTATGTGTGTCCCATCCAGTCACATGCTCCCTAGTCTGCTTAATCTTACAAAAATTGGGATGAGCTATGTCCTTTCACTATTAGGAATGGCCTGTTTCATCTTGGTTTCCTAGAGGACACTGATATGAACTCTTAAAGTTATAAAACACTGGATTCCCCCAATCAGACTAGTTCACCTTTTTTAATGCAGCCCTTGTGGAGGTCAGGGTGGATGTGAACGTGCCTTGATGTGAGAGGAAATTGTCTGAAACCTATCTCACTTGTGCTCTGAATAGTATTGTACAGAAGTGTGAAGGTGCTTCTCTGAGACAGTCACACTCAGAAAGCTGGGAGTGGTAGTATTCAGCTGCAGTACAGGAGTGGAATGACTTCATTTTTAATTGATTTTGTAGTACTTCATTTTTCATGGACATTCCAGTGGGATCTCCACATGGTAGAGCTAAACTTCTCTGCCTGTAGGTTTAGAAATGTATCTCTGTGGCTGGTAAAGACAGGCCAAAGAGATTAACTTTTAGTAGACTTAAAGGTGATGTGTGGAAATGACAGCTGCAACTTTAAATTAAACTCAAATGTTTTTTTAAAGGGTTTATTATAAAGTACTATTCGGTTTGACTATTTGGCTCTTTTAAAGCAGACTTTTAAAACGTTTACTACTGTAAATATCTTGACCTCAAGGTCTGTTCTTCAGGAAACGTGTTTTCTTCTAAAGCGGCCCTCAGCTTATTGTTAAATCGGTGACTTCTTTTTCGCTGCTGGTGCAGCTGCTTTGACCTTACATTCCTGTGTCATTCGCCTGCTTTATGAGGGAAAGCGCAGTATTAATCATCACAATTTCCACAGAAAACAAAATGTTACAGCTCACAGCCAACACGAGCCTACATAATACAAAATAGCTCATCTCTGAGGGGATTAGAACAAATAGTTTTCATTAAGCTGAGAATTCCGTACAAATTGGCTCCATAATAACAATCAGATGGAATTCTGAAATAGTCTGGGAATGTGTTTCTTGGGCTTTGACCTCCTAGTGCTCCAATCTCACTCCACCCCGCCCTTATCCGAGGGTAGACATAGGTGACATCTGTAGAAAATTCTGGGACAGTGTCTACGAGAGCACACAGACCTATTTCTCTAGACCCCCAACCCTGGCCGCAGACTGTGAGTAATTTTTCTTTCGCCACGCTTTCCCAAAAAAACAGACGGGGGGTGGGGGGTGGGGGGTTCAGAAAACAGGGCCGGCTCAGAAAATGTAAATTATGTTTACATTTGGAATGACAGTGCCGGGAATTTTTTTCTCTGGATAGCTCCGTTGGGTTTCCTATCGAAATCCCACCTGGTTACACTGACAATTAGACAGCCAATTGCCAGTTTCCTGTCATCAAGGAGAAAGATACAGCTGTGGAAAGGCCACACAACTGCCCTTAGACTGGGAGACATCTTGGCTGGATTCTCCAATGGCTGGCCTGCTGTGTTGAGTGCTGTCGGAATATTTGCTGCATCGGAAGATGCTCTGTAACGTACGCCTGCTTGACTAAGAAAATTAATCTGATTCACGCTCCTGAAACCAAAATGGATTTTGCCGTTACTATTGTGTTGCTATTTATATGCGGCAAACATTGCTACACTACAGCGAATTAGTTTATAAGCCCATTTCCAAGTCTTTTGATGTTTGAGTCTGATTCTCATTTACCTGGAAACATTTTGAAGTTCTACCCTCCATCCAAGCATTCCAGTCGGATGAGGTTAGGTTGTTGTTATTTTATTTTTTTTATTTTCAGCATTCCTTATTGTCTACCTGCAAAACAATCGAGGGCCTTGGCAGCTGGGCTGGACTGAATATGGATGAAGTAATTGTAACAGCTGTGGTCTCTGGTGTTTTCTACGAAGACATCACTTGGTGGTGGATCACACTGCATCTTAGGATAACTTTTTTTTTTGGTGTGGGGGGGGTAAACTGATGGGAATTTTCTAGTTTTGGCGAGAATAAAAATATTTGCAAAGAAATATTAAAGTCAAAGCTACTAAGGTTATGGAAAGACTGATAGCTGACATGGGGCAGTTCATGAACTGCCCTGTGCAATTCAGTTATTTGGATAATGAGTATCTGATGTAAACCTATGGATTGTTGTATGTAACATGCTGTGCTACTGAAGAACATTATATCCTTGTCCCAAACTGCTTGAGCATTATGGACGGTCTTTTACGTTCTGTGTACAGTAACCGTGTAACTTGAATCTTTTTTTGTGCCTTTTGTATTGGCGTGTAGTGTTGTGGACCAGGTCACCTGTGTGAACAGGTGGGAATGTCCAGTACTGGAGACTGTGGTTCCTGCAGACTTTGATATTCTCCTGAATTTCTCCCCCCCAGATTCGTCGGCAAATGATTAATTAATTCCATCAATCATGTAATTGATTACAGAACCTGCGAGCGCAGACAAGTTCCTTAAGGGTTCTTGAGAAATCATTCACAACAATTTTGTTAGTTTTGTTTCAGTTGAGTTTCCTTTTTTCACCACAGTTTTTATTCTACTAAGTGATCTTTAGCCATTTAGGCTTTAAAACAGGACTCCCCCATTCACTTCCTTGTGCAAAAATGTGAGATTGTCATTATTTAACAGAACCGCCAGCTTGACTAATGTAACTGCTCTGCAACTGTAAAAGACCTATGTCAAATTGACCTATGAATATTCCTGAATAATTCAAAGACTGGGAGAAAAAGTTTTTAGGAGCAGAAAAAGATAAGGTTCTAATCGGTCACCACATGTTATCACCACAATTATCAGTTCTTTTAAGCGATCATAAACAGAAACATTTTTATGATCGTGCAGATTAGATAGGATATCAAAAACAGTGTTCTTTGTCTCTTTCCTATTCCAGTTACTAGCCTTGACGGGTCTGCAAAAGACCCAAATATTTCTCTCCTGGATGCAGAATCATGCCTGGCTTACTGTTCATATCAACAGTGCTGTACGGGCAAATGTTTATGTATTTCAGCACTTGTTAATATAATTACAAGACTATTGGTGTTTGGCTATTGTTCATCCACTCCTGCGTTAAGACTCACAGATGAAGGAACGAATAATCACACACGTCAACTGCACACCATTAATGGCTTAAACATCCAAGAAAAACACAGTAATGCACAAGGGCGTTCGAAATGTACTGTTAGCTTATAATTAAACATCTCCAACTCTCAGACTCGCCTGCAGCAGTTCCATTTGCACAATGTAAATACAGAGGATTTACAGGAGTGACATCTTCTCTGGATTACACTGATGGGCCTGTGTGCGTACAGTCACTGTGCTCCAATCACCAGGAGAAACTGAAACTCTGTTTCTATTTCAAGAGGGGAAAAAAAAGAGCACATTTCAGGCGCTAGCAGGACATGTGACATCTTGATCTTTAAAACTTTTTAACTTATAGCATGAAGCACATGTAATGGTACAAGCCACTAGTCCAACAAACCCTGTTGCACTTTTGTAGCCTCAATTCTGGCATTCAGAATTGTATGGGTTTTTTTCTGTATGTGGCACAGGTTCAGACAAACATACAGTAAAGCTAATAGGAATGCCTGCTGGGTTCAGAAATCATGTGGCATGAATTTGAATAGATGAGTTTCCTGTCTGAAATGAGAACACGATAAAGATTCAAACGAGAGGGGTCGTGTGGCCCCTCGGCCAGTTTTTCCTTGAAGCCCAGAGTTCAGGCCTCACCCTTACCAGGCAACCTGTTCCAGACACCCACAACTCTTGCTGTAAAGAAGCGTCTCCTGAAATCTGTCCTAAATGAGTTCCTAAATGAAAGCGCAACAGCAGAAGACTCTGTGTACCTGATCTGTATTTTCCATCTCTACGTTCTTTAAATTTACTCAAAACATAGGTTCGGGTTATAGGACATTCTGCACTTGGTATTTGACTACAACTCGGAAAACCTGACCTGGCTCAATCTGCAGTGGCAGTCTTAGAATTATGTTCCTCCCTGGAGTTAACAGTTAAAGCAGTACCTTTTGAAGTGAACGTGGCAGGCCTAGGCTGACCCCACACCCTCTGTCTCCTCCCTCCAGCCTGTAACTGTAACCTGCACGCCCGCCGCTGTCGCTTCAACATGGAGCTCTACAAGCTGTCCGGGAGGAAAAGCGGAGGAGTGTGCATGAACTGCCGGCACAACACCGCCGGCCGGCACTGCCACTACTGCAAGGAGGGCTTCTATCGCGACCTGGCGCGGCCCATCACCCACAGGAAAGCCTGCAAGGGTAAGAGACACGCCGCTCGGTTTCAGAGCAAACCATTGTCCATGCCGGCCATGCGGTCGCCAAAAGCATGGTACTTCACACTGTCTTTCTTCTAGCCCCTCTGTGTTATAACCCCTCCAAAGAAGGCCACACGCTGTTATTGGCCAGTTGCTGGAGTTGCCAGTTGCTGTAGCCATGTGGTTGGTGTGAAAATGTGAAATGGATCAAACCGCTGGGCAATCGGAAGCCCTGTTGGTTTCTTTGTTGCGGTGATGAGCACCACGTTTCCCACCTTGAGCGTCCTTCGGAGATGAAGCTTCACTTCACAGCGCGGGGGGCAGACGCGGGCGCGGACTCGCACACACTCTCACCAGTTTTCCCCAGACGTCAACGACCCTCCCAGTTTGTCTTTGGACTGGCGGGAGGAAACTGGAGAACCCAGCGGACGCCCATGCAGACGCGGGGAGAGAATACAAACTCGACACGGATAGCCCCCGCAGAATTGAATCCAGGGCCTAGGACTGCAAGGCAGCTATGCTACCCACCGAGCTACTGTGCTACACAGATTTAACTTTTAAATACAAAACCATCTACTGTATATATAACTCTGTACCACAAACGGTCTGCCTTTGACCTTCAAAGGACTCCAGGTCCAGCTGCAACACTGAAATCCGACTGATGAGACAATATACTAACAAATACTAGAAAAACTCAAAACCATCATTTCAAAAAGGCTCAGACGCTCCAGCTAGCTGGTTATCCCAGATCCATTAATAGCAGATCCCAGTGATTTGGTGATAATGCCTTTGGCTGGCTTTTCTCATGTAAACACCCAACGACATCCAAACTCGGCGGAGACAGCGTCCCTGGAACTGAGCCCCCGTGCCGTGAGCCATCCATATTTACTAATGTGTCACCTTGCTGCCTGCAATCTTTTCTAGTACTCCACAGATCTTATCTAAGTTACTGTCAAATCTATAAATTAATGTTTTAATTAACCCATTGAAGCCTCTGAGTCCCCGGAGTAGGTTAATTCCAAGCCGCACAAGTGTCTGACTAACTTGGCAGTGGATAAGTGAAAAATTTTGTTTCATCTTTAACCTGTACAGGATTTTTTTTTCCCTGTCATGTTCCCAGTTCCTTTCCGCCCTAGATCACACCGTTTGGTGCTGTTGTGCCTCGTCTCTGCCGGTGTGAAAGAGATGGTGATGATTGCTATCGATTCCTTGTGCGCCTCTTTGATCCGTTTGTTGGGGAAAGAAAGGAGCAACTGCCTCTGAGCTCCAGAAGAAAGGCAGGGAGGGGGGTGCTGAGCGATTTCAAATTGGCGGCCAGCTTTGCCAACCTCGAGAAGAAAAAATTAAAAAGCTGCCTTGAAGACAAAGCTCTTAACAGTTGGTTTTCAGGACTTGGAACACTTTCATTATCACCCCTGGACGAGGAAAGCCAACAGCTGAGCATCACCACGATTTCTCCTGTTACAGTCTTATATACTGATGGAAAAAAGAAACGCAACATTTTCTGGAATGAGAATACTATAGTTCTAGCTTATGTACTGTCACAAAAAGTTGTCAATTTGTTTTAAGCCCCCTGACCAGCAATACAGCTTGTGCAGTGAGGCATTGCAACTTGCCAATCACACGACAGCTCGTTAGGTGCACTTTAACCCAACGAGGTCCAGGTGGAACAAAGCCTGATCAGGTCACCTTTAAAATGGCCTTAATTCAAAGCTTAGGTCAATGCAAGAAAAAGGCCACACTTAGTCAGTTTTCTGTGCATTCCATAATGCCTCGAATGTCACCAGAAGCAAGGGAGAGGGCCATTGGCATGCTGCAGGCAGGCATGTCATGTGCCAGCGTTGCCAGACACTATGGAATAAGCCGCTCCACTGTGTCCCGACTGCAGAGAAGGTTTACGCAGACCGGCAGGTCAGATGACCGTCCAAGATCCGGTCGCCCTCCAGTGACCACACCAGAGCAGGACCGACACATCAGACTGGTCCATCTGAGAGATCGTTTCGGATCTGCCACCCGTACTGCTGCTGAAACTACCGGCAGGCACAATGCCCGCGTCGGTGACAGGACAGTGAGGCTCCATGCTGCTGGCCTTAGAGCAAGGCGACCTGTCAGAGGCCCTCTGCTCACATCTCCTAGACGTCACACCCGACTGGCTTGGGCCAGACAGAGGCTGAGATGGACTCGTCAGCAGTGGCATCAGGTCCTCTTCACGGATGAATCACTCTTCAGCCTGTTCCACCCAGACAGCAGGGCCAGAGAGTGGAGGAGAAGGTGCTGCGTTTGTTTTTTCCATCAGTATATACAATATAAGTGAAAAGCACATTTCTCCTAATGTATCTAATGAGAAGGGTTAATTTAATTTACTTCTTTGTACAAGTCACTGACTCACTGGTTGTCCCCAGGCAAGTTACCTAGTCTCCCTATGTGTTTCTGTGATGGAAGCTGAACTCTTGATGTGAGTCTGTATAGCCTGTATATGATTCCAGGGATAAAAGTATCTGCTGAACGACAGCTAAAATACCATTGATCATCATAAGAAAGCCACTTATTCCTGAGGAGGGTCATGGCAACATGGAGCTGATCTTGGAACCTTAAAGAGCAGGGCAGGATCCCACCATGGACACCAGTCCAAGCATGACTTCGGGAGGTGGGGGGGAAACTAAAGACGTGGGGGGACCATGCAAACTCCACACAGAAGAATCCATACACCAGAATCGAGCCTGAGATCCCAAATCCATGAGGCAGCAATGCTAAGAGCCATATCACTTGTGCTGGCTCTGTTCAGATAGAATAAGGTGTGCTTTAAAATCTAAAGCCCGTCTTTCTCAGAAAGCCAGTAGACTAACCAGGACATATCAAGATAGAAGCTGTTTTCTACATTTTATCTTCTTGGACAGTATCCGATTGCTTTATCAGACGAAAAACTACAGACCCGAGTTAACCAATACATGACAATAACTAAAACCTCTTCTCTGTCTGTTCATAAATGGGGACACAGGAAGTGAAAATCCAAGCACCTCCGTCCCACCCAATCAAAAGCCTTTGATTTCGAGTGACTTGATTGGCTGATTCAGGTTCCTTGGCATAAGCCGTCGACCAAATCCGTGACATTTTTTTTTTTTACGTCCCGTAAGCTCGGAAACCGTTGGGTCAATGTCACGTCTGAAATCGAGTAGAGCCAATAAAAGCCAGGTGCTTCCTGAAGCGCTGAGGTCGGAAACCTGCTTTTCTTCCCGCTCCCTTTGAATCAGACCTCCGGAGGAGGAATGGTGATGTTAGAGCAGCCGTCCTTTGGAGCGCACGAAGGCATTTTTAGACAGGCGGGACGTTGATAGATGGGTTAAGTGGTTGACCCCTGTCTGGTTTCAATTTGGTGCTCGCATCTGCCGCAGGTACTTCAAAGCTATGACAACACCCCGGCGCTCCAAGAACACTCGAGTTGCTTAGCCAGCAAGCTGGCCAGTTGAAATAGCGCCGCATTGTTGATACAGCACTGTAATACTTCACGAGGGGGGGTATCTTAGCAACGCGGCCATAACCGGGTATCCACGACGAAGCATAGGAAAGCCCAATGAAAACATCAGCACTGCCCGAAAGATTTGTAAAGTCACAGGGTCCAGATGGAATTACACCAAGCTGCAGCCATGTAGGTCACAGCACTTAAATGAGCGAAAAGGCATTTTCTCATTTTTGTTAGTAAAAATAGTCCATTTAAAACGTATTAGACAAGTAGTTGTGAAGTCATCACTGCCGAGACATTACAATGGAAAGCCCTTTATAATTACAAAGTTATCACAATAAATGGGTTATAGTGTCTTCACCTTGGCTCCAGGACTTCCTTTTTGTATATTTTGTTGTGGTAGGCATCATTATTACGTACTTACACGGTTTCAGATCAGTTCTTTGTTTGAGTAGAAGGTTCGTTCATCCAATGATCACAAGAAAGGGAAGAAGTCAGAAAGGTTCAGATGAAAACAGAGATGATATGCCTGGCTCTCGGATAACCGCCAAAGTAACGCGTGCTGTCGAAAGGTTTAAATGTTCTAACACTCTGGTGGAAGGTGCTAACTGAACCACTCGCGCCTCAGACGTGTTTTATCTGCAGAAACAAGAGGGGACTGAAAAGCAAGCAAGGAAAGGGGAACAGAACTGTTCTTCTAGTATCTCACAAAGTCCAGGTGGTACTGTAGCAAGGCTTTACAGGAGCTGAGAAAGCAGTTCAGTGTGCACCCAGATCCATGTAGCTTTGTTCCTTTTCCCCCAGTGCTTTTCTCGATCATAATGAACTGAGCTCAGTATTCTCTGCTTGCACATACTGGCTTCAAAACCAGCTCTATGGAGTGTGGTGACTTTGAAAGGCTAGTCTAATAAACACAGGTCTGAAACAACTGGGCACCTGAAGTCACTCAAATATCATTGTATGTTTCGGGACTTAGGATTTTCTTTTAAAACAAAACACATGTCAACTGTTTTAAAACACCGCGCAGCTCTGAGTGTAAACAGAGAGATGAAATATCAGGCCAGAGGGATTTTTATCCAGTGAGAGAGACAAACAACCCGATGAGAACCAGGAATGAAATTTTACTTTATTTTTCAGAAATAAACCTCGCCTTTCTCCTGTAAATTGCCACCTCCGCCCCCTCAAAACTAGTGTTTTTTTTTAAACTGGCTGTTCTTTTTACGGGACTTCACGGTTAATATGATTTCTGGGATTATAAAGGTGAATCCCTTGAGTGTTTGTTTACTTTATTGGTCAAAAAGTCTCGACAAAGCCTGAGCTATTTTTGGGCTCTAGGCTCCTTGACGTTACATCTGGGCCCAGTCACGGGCCTGTTAACATTTTTACTTTTTAACAACCCCAAGCACGCCTCAGGGGTCCTCATCAACTATCTGGACTTTTAGGTGGTACAAAGGCCTTTTCTTTTGGACAAAAGTTTTAAAAAATAGTTTTCTGGCTTAATAAGGCAGTGCTTGTGCATGTGCCTAACCTGAGACCTGTTACAA